GAACGATGCCGGTGGCAAAATGCCACTCACTGTCATTGCCGCCCCTCGGGGCGGGGCTCTTCCACCAATATCCTTCTGAAACAACTCTGGCCCGGCCGCGACTCACCTTCTCTTCTAGCTGCAAAGCCCGCCACCTTCTTCGAAGCAACGGGCTGTCCAAGTCCACCCCCTCGAGTGGTCCCGGGCCGCTCGCGGTGGGCCCTAGTTGTTGTGGCCCATCGCCACGTGCTGGAGCTGGCCAAGGGCTACCTCGAACTGAGCCCTCTGGGCTGCCATCCCCTGCTCGTACTGGGCCTGGTTCTGCTGCAGCTGCTCCTGGAGGTCCTGAATGTACTTCTCCCGGTCCGCGGCCTCCTTGCGCTTCTCCCCTTGTATCTTCGCGATCTCCTCCTGGTCCCAGTCGAAGAACTGGCACACTCGAGCAGCGCACTTCCAAAAGTGCCGGCCTTGGGTCGGGCCGGGCTTCTTGGTCACCAGCCGCACTGCCGCGTTGCCGCAAAGGCATGTTGGGACTCTTGGAGCCGCGCTGCCCATGGCCCCGGCGATCTGCGTCCTCACCACCTCGGCCAGGTACTCCTCCATCGCATTTGCGTCCCACCGGCCGCAGCACTGGAGGCAGTAAATGTCTCGGCTGCGCCCGTTCCCAGCTCCACGGAGAAACTCCGCGGCGTGGCCGCACTCCTCGATCTTCACCATGGGTGGCGCCTTGGATTTCCGAGGCTGAAGTGCCTTGGCTCGGCCCGAGGCAATCCACTGCTTGTAGTCCGCGGTCTTGGCCGCCGTGCGCTTCCCAGGCTCTCGGAGCGTCACAGGTTCCCACGTGGCCGAAGCCACCGCAGAGGGCAGCCAGCCAGGCAACAAGGATGCGTTGAACCAGTCCGCCATTCGGGCCTGTATGGTGGACAGCGCGAGCAGATCGATAAGCTTGTCGAACACCACTCTCCAGTTTGACAAAGCCCGCTTGGGATTGTGGGCTCCTCCTCGCCCGGGCTTGGCTGGCGACAAAGATGCTTCGGACCGCAGCTGAAGAAGCAGGTTCATGACCCAGTCCGGCACACTCAGAAAACCCCCCAAACGATCTAACGGCACTCTCGAACCGCGGCTTGCAACGAAACTCGGCATCACTGAGACCTGCTTGCGCTGCGGCTGCGGGCAACTGCCAGTCCTTGCCCGCGAAGTCGACGACCTCGATGGTATAGTGACCTGAAGGGAGCGGTGTCATGGGAACCGTGGTGCCTATCGCGCGCATCTCTAGGCACTCCTCGTCCAAATTGATCACGGACCTCAGCTGCTTCAGCAACTTAACCGGCAACAGCA